CAAAAAAAAAAAAAAAAAAAAAAAAAAAAAAGATTCGTCTATGATTCTCCATCACCTATAGGATAAAATTCTGCTCTTCGCAGATTTTTAACCAGATTCAAAACTGATGAATTTTTGCCAAATTGTTCCCCCCTTCTTGGCCCAAATTGTCCCCCTTTTCTTTTCTATCCCTTCCATTCCATCTTATTTTACTATTTTACCCATCCCTACTTATTTTCCCAACCCCTCTATTTCCTTAAGTAATAAAACTCAACCCCCTCTCAGCTTGTTACATTTACATCCCCACTGCTCATCTTACTCAGAAAAATAAAGGATTCTACTGAGGACCCCTCCTTCAAGGTGGCTGGGGTGCTGCTGGGGAGTAAGTAATAATAATTTCCCCCATCACTTAAAGTAAGCTGGCTGGGGACCCTGTGGGAGAATAACTAATGTTTCGTGGGGACACATAGGGAAAGGCTTCACTGAGGAAAAACCATTTGAGTTGGGTCTTGCTGAATGAATAGAGTTTTTCCAGGTGTTGGGGGCAGAAGGAAAAGTGCAAGCAAAGAAAGGAACTGTGAAGCCACCCCGGCTATTGGGGGAATGGTGGACAATTTGATTTGACTGAATCATAGAGTACTATGTATGTATGTAGTGAAGAGGTGGTGATGGTGAGCTGTAAAGGGAGTGGGAGGGGAAATGTAAGGGCCTCGAGTGCTCGGCATGGAGGTTCACTGTTTCGTCTTTGCATTGCTATACTTAGATGAATTGGGTGCTGGTGTTGCCTTCTCACTGATGGCAGAGTGGGGACAGAAACAGTCATATGCAGGTTACCACAGCATCATCACCACAGTCAAGGGGTCACAGTCAGCAGACATTACTTTGTCCCAAGAATTAAGTACTTTACTAAGTGTGAAATACTTTATCTATGTCAACCTTATGAGGGAGGTACTATTATTATTCCCATTTTGCAGGTGTGGAAACTGAAGCACAGAGGGTTATAAACAACTTGCTTGAGAGAAGGGGTGATGTCAGGATCGGTTTACAAGCAGTCTGACATTCCGTGCTCACAAGAAACATAGTCTAACAGGAGAAAGAAGATCTGCTCACAGGCTTATGTACATTTATAATTCAGGACCATGTTATGAGGATTAAGTGAGGACAAACTTAATTTAGCACAGGTTCTGGCACATAATAGCAGATCAAAAATGTTATGTTGTTGTTTCCTTGTACTTTATCATTGTTTTGTGCTACATGCTATATAAGTGGCACAGACTAATCGGTTTGCGGTCCATCAGGGGCTGGAGTGGGCAGCAGACAGCAGTGGTCAGGGATGACCTCCTGGCTTTCTCCCCATTCTGGAAATCAGGCAGATCTGAGTTCACATCCACGCTCTGTTCCCTCTTAATGTAGTAGGCATTTGCCCATTTTCTTTGGGGAATTCCTAGCATCTAACTCTGTGATTAGATGGGGCAGGATTAGGGAGAGTTCGTTCCTCCATCATTAAAAGATGATGTCACTGTGGCGGTGCCTTTTCTCTTACCCCAGAAGAGAGGTGGGCCCAATGACTTGGCGTCCAGGGCAGCGGCAGGAGACCCAGACTTAGGCAACAGCTACTTCTGTCCAGCACTTAAATTTGGACTAGGTGATGCCACGCTGGGAGTTGGGTCATACAGCAGTGCTACCGTGGAAGAGAGATAGATTATTCCTGCCAACAGCCAATTTTTCTGCCCTCCAGAGCTACTCTGTTAATTAGTTGTTTTCCAAGTCTGGTCTTCCAGCTTCTGCTTCGTTCTGTAAGCCCCTTCCTATAAATTCCATTTTTGCTTAAGTGGCGGAGTCAGTTCCTGTTTCTTTAACTGAGAGCATCCCTAACCATATGGCTCTGTGGGCTAATTTATAGAAAATTCCAGCAGGCCCCTATATTGCCCACGTCCTGATGGCTGGCTAACAAGGAGACAAAACCATTGGTCTGGGTGCTGTTCCCAGAGAGCTCTTCCAGCCCGCACTGAGCATCTAAAAATGTGGAAGGGAACATTGTCGTTGATGGCAGGATTAATCATAAACTGTATCCTTTGAGATGGTTAGCTTACCTACCTCTCCCTCTTCCAAACAAGAATGTCCTCAACAAAGTCTTGGCCAAGTCACCAGCCTCTGCCATGACACCTCCAAGACCCGGTACTCACCACCTCCCCAGGCAGCTTATCCCATTCTTGGACAGCTCTGTTAAGAAAGTCTTCCTTCTCTTTAGCTGAAATTTGTCTTCCGGTGACTTCACCCATCAGTCTCAGTCTTTCCCCACGGAGTCACACAGAACAATGAG